TATTACACCCAACACACAATGAAACTAAATATAGCGACGCAGGTGGAGCACTCGGTCACTCATGAAGAAGTAACAGCTCAAATCATTACCCACAATATGGGCGATGTTTGCTTCGTTAACAACTAAGCGTATGCACCAACATAACAAAGGAAATTCACAATTTTATTAACTTTACGACGCAAAAATTCTGGACCTAAATATACATTTTACGAACGAAAGAAGCAGAGGATAGGAACAGGAACGTGAATTATGTTCCACGTTATATTGAATTTTATAATGGCGAGCACGGCTATGCTTTTATAATAAGACTATAAGTACGATTCAATAAGAAACGTAAAAGAAATTTTGTTTGTTAGAACACAAAGAACGATAATGTCGATTAACTTGAAGATTACATTTATAAAAGGTTCCTATAACAATAAGCAAAGGTTGCCTTTAACCAAACGCTCAGAGGTTCGGCAATTTGACCAATCCAAGCTGGTAGGTGAACTATATTACTTTTAACTTATTGCACCGGCCACGTTCTCACTGGATCACCTAAAGGTTAGCTAATAAGAATGCCCATGGCATTAAGCCCACCCTTGAATTTTAGTTGCAAAAAGTTAAAAAAGTGCTCATCGTGTTGTTTTGTTCGGTACGTTTCCGGTAATTTGGTACAAAAATCTATTTGAACCCTTGTGGAAGACTATTTTGGGGGTGTTAGGGAAATGAATTAGATGGAAACGGTATATTTCAAAACAATATACATAGGTAGGCAAATTCACTACAGGCAATTATGATTTACACAGTGTATTTAACTTGCAGTTTGATTAATAAACCTGGAAGAATCTGGAGGAACTAGGGAGGTATAATAGGTACCTGTAAATTGAAGTTTGTTGGTGGTCGTACAATAGTAAAATTCAGTGAAACTTGGCAAGCGTACAAGAAAATATTAACACAGTGCATACCATGCGCATGGTGAAGGAATTACAAACATGATTCATAAGGTCCCTGGCTTTATTAAAAAGTCCTTTGATTCTGGATTTGTTTGTCTTTACACTGTCAGATAGATATACGGACTTCAGGACGTGGAAAAACGTTTTTACACGATTATGTGTTGAATACTAAAGCTCTCATCAGACGAAGCCTAACCGAGGCCTAACAACGGCTACCAATGCCTGTTACACAGCAGTAATCTCAAGATCCTGTAGAGCAGAACCCATTTCGTTTACTTTTGAGACTACACGGTAAATGGCTTACTTTAATTGAACGAGTTCCCCAATCATATAACTATCGGGTTCTAGTTCACTATGAAAATCGATCGCTTTTCCCTAAACCGACGTTTAATGTTTATTAACGAAATTGCGGTTTGCGTTTATCTTAGCACGGCAGAAATGGTGATGTCGTTTTCGTGTTAAGGCTGCTAGTAATACTATGATACGAGTAATTTTCTAAACCTATGGAACTATCTTGTAGTGGAGATTTAAAGATGTGTATTACATTTTTTTATTAGTCACTCTACTCCATTTTAATACATTATCGCGATTACGCTTTTATAAATATTATACCGATACATCTTTGCTAATGTTACTGTTAGCAGAAATATACAAAGTTCCTAAACAATACATTATCTGAATGGATTTCTACCGATCGACGTAATTCCCAAGGCATTGGCTCATGTTGGTCGGTCCGCGTGTCAAACGGTGGGCAATTAGGAACTCAAGATTTATTGCTTGCGGAATCCCTGCGAGAGACACTTTAATACGATTTTGCGGATAATTTTGTGTCCCATATATTTAGACATCTGTGTAGTTATTAAAAAAATATTACTGAGTCTAGTTATTAGTCAAAAAGGCAAATACTAGACAATGATGTTTCATTTATAAGTTGTCGTAAGAACAAGTAGTTGTACCAGAAGATGTTGACAGTATGGAATTACAGTTGTGGTTCATAGTCGCCAGTATCAGTAATATTCAATTCAAACAGTAATTTTTAAGAGATAGTAATTACTTCTATTACTACACTCATCGACACCCACAACTCGAAAGGAGTAACTAGTTACTTACAAGTGCATTGCCCGTCTTTTGGCGGAGGAGATTGGACCTTCAGTAACCTCACTCACACGGCAAAGTTCAACGTTATCGTTATTTCGTAATTAGGGCCCATTTCTACCTCTGATCCCCAATTCCAAAATCTCGAAAAGTCCAGCAACACACTTGAGACTCACTTAGCTTTTCCATGGGCGGCGCCAAATGCGTCAGGTGATCCGCCTGCTCACCATTATATCTCATGAAACTTATTTAATTTTAATGATATTACTTATTTAACTGGTTGAGTACCGTCATTATAGACACAATTATAGAACAATAGGTTGCGGTCACCGGTGACCGCTTGGTGTTTGATAGTTTAATCTGACCTATAACCTTCTCTATTATTTTATTTCAATATTCAATAAATAGGCTTAGGGCCGATTTGTCAATCATCAATTAATTCTTAACTGTAGAATAAAATTGACATTTGACAGTTTTTTAGTTAGTGTGGAAGAATTGTCAAATAGGTATTCATAGTTATTCCTCAGGTAACATGTGGCATTGGAAAAATCAGCCCTTAAATAAGGCTTTATAAAATTAATATCATGAAGTTACAAGTCCAAATGGTATCTGCTTGTAACCTTGAACACCACAAGTGTTAAGTGTGTTGATCCAGCCTGATAGTAGCTACAGCCACATGCGCTGCTAATGTATTTCTACTTTAGATAGCCTGCGCCAATTGTAGTATTCAAGTGGTTATGTAGCCCTGAGAGCCATGACTTAATTTCATTACCTTATAGGCTGCTGCCCACATTGTAGATATTGAAAAATATGAACCATATCAAATATCTATATGCACCACCACATTATATGCTGGATTTAAGGATCTTATTTTGTTAAAACTATTGTTTACAAGACTATGTTACTAAGACTAACTAACTACAGGACTAAGTGTTGAAACCATAATAAGTAAAGGCTGCTAGCAAATAATATAGACATTGATAGAAAACAAAGGGTGAGGCTCGCGCTGATATAAAAATAAATGCAAGCTCTTTGTTCATAGAAGTGTTGTATGACCAAGCATCTTATTTTGGATACCAACAAATAAAACCCTTCTTCATTTAAGAAGAAATTTCTGCAGGGCAGTGAGAGTTCACATTCTGATTATATATAAAATTTAACTCATGGTAAGCCAGAGTGTACATCTAAGCTAGTAATAATGTATTTTTTATACTGACAGTAGCAAAAAAGCACACAGCCCACCTGATGGTAAGTGCTTACATGGACCTTGCCATCCCTTAAAAACCTATTTAAACTGTCAAACACCAAGCGGTCACCGGTGACTGCAACCTATTGTTCTATAATTGTGTCCATAATGACGGTACTCGACGAGTTAATCCCTTGTATTTTTACTGTCTCACTAAGCAGCAAAGGAGAGGATAAAACATTAGGCTGAGAATAAACTACCTAATTAAATAAGTAATTTGTACTTACACATGCAAGCTACAAAGTCAATACAGAAATATTGTAAGCACTATGTGTGTTGCTTACATCACATTTCAGTCTAAATTTATCTTTACCTTTACAAGGGAACCAGTGACATTTTGACAAAATTATAATAGTGTTCATAACTTTAATTATAGTTGTATTTTTTACAGGAACAGTGTGGGAATCATTGCTTAAGATGCGTTTATATTTATAGCACTAACGGGAAGGTTTAATAATTTATCTATGGTAACTAGGTCATTTAGATTTGCCAATACAAACAAATAATAGACAAAATCAATGTTGCATCTAAGTTGACAAACTAGTGAATTGCATTTTTGTCAATTTGTGTAATAAACAGTAAATCTGCAGGATTGTTTAAAGTTTAGCAAATGAAATAAAATAATGCAAATGGAAATAGTATAATGATACCCTTATTATGTTATCTAAAAATTTAGACTAGTCCTAGTATGTTGGGATGACCTAGGATGAATGAAAAACTGATCATTGCTGATTCACAAACATGAAATGACAACATTGATTCAGTATCACCATTTAGTAAAGAATCAGGGGGAAAGGCAATCAGCTGATGCTTCAATGATGAATATTCCTGAATATTGATGACGATTTTTTTATTTACATAATTACAATAATGATGAATGAAACTGGTTGTGATAATGTGGCAATGCAAAGTAAGAAAATTAATATTTATCGAGAATTAATCAAACATTTAAGAGATAATAGAGAAAACATAGGCAAAAAATAATATTTTATTTACCAGCTGAATAGCATGATTCGTCGCCCGTAGAAATTGAAGAACTTCGTGAGTAACGATGATTTATTATGTACATGTCCTTGGCAAATTATTGAAAAATTCTATACACCCATTCATTGAAAACACTTAAAATAAAATAAACTACATTGTGTACGATTTTTAAACGTTAACATTTAGAAAATTTATCGCACCAATGAATTTGAAAATTAGTACTTCACTTCACGTTACTGACATTATTTCAATTAAAGTAAATAAAACACCAATTGTCAGTCATTTTCAGCAGGACTTTTAACGAACTGTAGCTAATCTTTTAATTTACTTAGCAACTTTATAAATATTGATATTTCACTAAAACTCCTCCTCCAATCATTTACAAATGACACAAAAAATTAAAGAAAAAATGTAAAAAAATTATGACTTTTTCAGGGCTGTTCATTTTACCGACACCGTCACCAATGTTAACTGTCGGCAGCATATATTAGACTGGCAACACTATACCTTCAGCCACACCTTGACATAATTTTGTTTATATTTGTTAATTTTTATTGTAAAACTAAGAAAATTTAAAAATTTGAGTATAATTAAAGTATAATTTAAAAACTGTTTAATTTTATGCATTATTTGTTCTTTTATCGTAAATGAAAATATAAACCAACTTATCAATGAACGTGCCATAATTTTATAACAGCTGGTGCTGAATGATGCTAAAATTTGACATTGACGTCATTGACTAGTTATATCAAACGGTCCGTCAACGATGAACGAACCAAAACATTGCATCTAATTGCAAGATTGCCAATAAATCCAGATTTACCGCATATATTTCGTGACTATCCACATGTTATTATAATTCAAAATAGACTATACCTAAAATAGAAGTTTGCTAGCATTGTACATTTGATTAAATAGCTCCAATTGTTTAGAAAATGGGAGATTCCGATGAATGGACGAAGTATGTTAACGACCCAAGAACCATCTGTAAATATACTAGTAAATGTTATCAGAAGAATCCGGAACATCATAAAAGGTTTAAGCATCCGCCGCATAAGATTGGTAAAGCAATAAACCGGGCTAAGGGTCGTTTGTCGCCATACACCAGGCCTTCTCCTCGTCGATCACCTGCCCGGCAAGAGAAGTGTGAGTCACCGAGCTGTAACAATGAGGATGCAGTGGCAAAATCGGATGATGTCGCCAGTGATAGTAAACCTGAACAACTAGATGAACAAGAACCTGATGACCAAACAGTTATAGAATTCCCTAAAAAAATAACCTTTTATGACAAAAGTACTGATAACAGTCTCCTAAAAGAACTCTTCTTAGTAGAAATGCCTGATGACTTCTTCAAATTTTTTGAGTGTATTAGTGAATGTGGTAAATCATTTGAAGACACATTGTCCAGTGTGAACCTGATGGCAATAGGTCCATTTGAACTGTTGATGGGAAAGTTGCCTAAGTTAGATAATAAAGAACTGTATTTAGTTCATTGGAGATTCTTCTATGATCCTCCAGAATTCCAGGTAAAATTCAATTTTAAGATTATACATTTATAAAGTACAAAATTATAAGCAAAAAGTATATTTTTTCATATTCACAACTTTTCAGGCAATCCTCAAGAACAAGAAGAAAGATAGTCAGTATCACATTGGATATTTTCGTGATGATCCCAAAGAGGCACCAGTGTTTGTTGCAAGTAATGATAGTGAGAAAAACTATCACATCACTCCTATGGCCTACAATTTATTTGGAGCTGTTTAGTAAGTACTAGCCAATTCTGCGCGGTTTCACACGCTCTGCTCAGCTCCGATTGGTTGTTGCGTGATTTTTTATAGCATAGGCTATGGCTATAGAGCCATCCTTGATAAATGAACACACAAAAAGAATTATTCAAATCAGACTTTTAGTTACGGAGATTAGCATGTTCAAAAACAAACAAACAAAAAAAGAAACCCTTCGCTTTATAAATTAGTATAAGATAAATACTTAAAAATCAAAACTAGTAAGCATGGACATTATTAGATGAAAAATTATAATAATTGAGAAAAATCTTTGCATCTTTGTTATGTCAATATGGTTGTCCCCTCAAGGAGCACAGAACATAACTGGTGGTGAAAAGGAGGTATTTGTTGTACTATGTTTGCCTCTGCCAACCCATTTAGGAAGTGAAACATTATGATTCCTATCTCGAAATTAGACTAAATTATTTTCCATCATTTTTTCAGTAAATACTTGCAAAATGAGAAGAAGCATTCCCCATTTACCTCAATGGCCTGCCAAAAAGTAATGGACAAACTGAAATCATATGCAGAAAAGAACAATATTTCTTTAGAGGAGTTTGATATGAAAAAGAGATCAGCAAATGTGGTAACTAAATCTTTCCATGGTGCAGGCATTGTGGTACCTTACGATAAGAAAACTCAAATAGGATACAGACGCTTGGTAGAAACTGATGGTAAGATATTGAACATGTTTCTTTGACATTATTCTATCAGCCACATAAGGTGTATTGTAACTGTGTAATTTGTATACCTATTGGACAAATCAATCATTGATTAATAGCATTAAATAATTTACTGCTTCATCAGTCTTTTTATATTCTTTTATTTAGTTTCACTTGTTGCATTGTGTTTGTAATCAAATATTGCAAGGTACATTTGATCCACTTGTTTTCCAATGGAGCTGAAATTATTATGAGTGTTAACAGAACTTAACAATATTCTTATTTTGTTTCCTACAGCTACTCTGAAAAAAATGTTTACTAAGCTAGAAGAGGCTATAAGCAAAACAGAAAAAATGGGACTACTCTCAGAGTTGCAGCCTGTCATCACCAATATTAATATTGCCCTGGATGAATCAGATTTTGGAACTGGTATTGAGGGTGGCATAGCCCTGTTTTGTTCTGGTTTACAAGAATTGGCACAACCTGCTATGAGTAGCTTGGTTTCTGCATACTCTGTGCTAAATAGGAATTCATTTGGAGACATAATTAAGGTAATTTATTTCAGTTTTCGTGGTCTATTCTATTTTACTTAAATTCCTTTATTTGATTATCAATTTTTTTACTTCTGTATAAAGTTGACAATCCTTTGAAAAAGTCCGTTCATTTCACCTTTATATTTTACTTACATGTTTAAATTTTTTCAGGCGCATATCAAGTACCGGCGTAAAGGAGCCAATGTTTCGCTGCTCCACATGTCTGCCTCAAAATAACAGTTTGTCAGATACTTTGGAACTAAATGTTGTCAAGCAGTGTATATTAAGCCAAAGCTGACTTTCGATTCATGTTTTGGTTAATATTGTCCCAAGAAATGTTTTTGACTTATGTAATGTGTATTGACTACAGTTTGCATGCATAATATAAAATTATATTGCTTCAGTTCAAAATGTAATTTTGTAGCTTGATGGATATGTAAACACCGACACAGTGCCTTTTTTAATAATATTATTGTAGGTACTTATTTATAGTTAACTAGGGAACACATAATTTCAATTTGTTACATTTAAAATAACAGTTCAAAACTGTAAAGTAGGTAGGTTTTTGTATTGTTTTTTTTAAATTAAAACCAATCATTTAATGTTATAAATCATTTGATGCTTTTAAATAAACCAATTTTATTATTGATGTCATAGGCCATGACGTCTATGTGTGTACCAGGTACCTATTAGTTGAAATATTACATTTCTTAATCTCAGAAGATTTATTAGGTCCTATAAAACCTGATTGTTGCCAAACTTCCAAAATTGAACACAAACAAGTAAAGAAGTATAATTGTCCATTTAAACATTTTAGACTGATCATTTTGAACCAAGGAAATGCAAATAAACAGCATTTGTGTGGAACATAAAAAATTAACTCTGATAAACCTTATCTTTGTATCATTACGACAATATACTTAAGACAGTCTAACGAGTACATACTTGTTCAAACAAGTCATACACAGCACAGTGCATATTTTTATATTATGAGATGTTTATCGCGGAATTTAGTGAGCCAACGAGCTTTGGCATCTCTATTACTCTATGCAAGATATCGCGGTTAAATCCAGTTTGCACGACATGACCTTGAAATTTTGTGTAAATTAGGGTGACGCCAGCATACGTTTGCACTGCCCGAGTGCGTTGAACTCTTGAATCTTTGTCAAGGCGTAAGAACCCGGACGCCTTTGTAAGACAACATTAGATAAACGTTATCTTAATATCTACATAGAGTTTTATACCTACTTATTTTGGAAAGTCAGAGATTAGTGATGTTGATAACGATTTTGCAATACATCTCTTACTTAACATATTAACACTACCTAATTGATATTTGCAATAACACTATTACACTGTTAGTATTTGATCGTTGATTACTGCTCTGCTATATCAGATATGGAAAAGTATTAAGACTATCTATAATTATTATTTCACAATGGAATATGATGACCCAGCCCACTGTAAATGTGAAGATTAATCAAGCGCGGGCACGATAAAGGTTATTTTAAACTTAACCCTATCTTTATGCCCAATCACCATCTAGGAATGCGGAATGCAACCCGCCGTAAGCTGGGGACTGGTTCAAGTCGGGCAGCGAGCTAGGTACCTGTGTTTATGACACTATCCACGACTAGTCAAACACCATAGGTAATTCATAAGTTACTTTTAAATAAATAAAATATATAAATTAGAGTAACATTTTTATTATAATCAAGTGTCCTTCACTAAAAAAAAATCAAAAATAATTATCAGAAAAAAATATCAGTTCAGATCAAAATACGTTTCAAAAAACATTATGAATCTTCAAACAAATTACATGGAAGTCATTCTTTAGGTTTGTCAGCAGTACTTAGATGTAGAAATAGGGATAATGGACAGTGATCACTACCATAGACTTTATCTCTTATAATATTATCGCACAGCGCCGGTAGCAACCTTTCCGATATTATGAAGTAATCCAAACGCCTGAAACAATCAAATTCAATTTAATGTTGGTAATACATCCAGTTTTTCTTATCGGACAAGACCGCCTCTACCCCTGCAACTCCTGTACGCAGGATCGACAGTAGCTGCTACAACCATAAAAATAATGAAGATCTTCGCGTCCCGGAGATTTGACAACTTTGGATCCCGTAAAACCAGAAGATACTATTAGAGGAGAAGAAAAGGAAGTTTTATTTCAGGAGACAGTATGATGGCAAACAATACTGCATAACTATAAAGATGCCCTGTTGCCAAGCACATGTCAACTATTGCTTCAAAATCCGGGGACCTCATAGTCAGTCTGTGAGCAATATTTGTCCCCAATAATACCTAGCTATGGGTAAAATGCCCGGAAAGTTGGAATATTATATTCAAATTGCGTCATACACCATTTTAAACTGCTTAATATGCACCTCTTCGTATTAATATATCACGCCACGCCGTTTTTTATTCATCAGTCAGTATTCAGTCATTCCACGACTCGTGGAATATCTGAGAATATAAAGCTGAGTCTGAGTAATAGAGGGCGCAATAGAGACCTATTACGGCTCGCAATACAACAGGCGTAAGTCCAGATTACATGCTACATACAAAGAATTTTAGACGCCCCAATAAAAGAACAAAATTACTGTGCCCAACCTAAATAGTGAAACAAGCCTTACCATCCTACATTTTTCGCCCGGCTGTTCATCATATAGGTCCAGAAAGTATACGCTCCAGTTTTATCTGGGTACAAATGTCGATACGTATCGACGAACCCATCTCCTAGTAAATCTGTCATTCCAGCTCGCTCCTCGTCAGTAAAACCAGCATTCTTTCTGTTTGTTTTAGGATTGGTTAAATCTGAAAACGAGTTTTGTTTTTATTTACAAGCGAAAAGTTATCTACTATCCCAACATTAGATTACCGTGTCAAGTTGTGATACATACCTATTTCTTTATGAGAAACATTCATGTCGCCACAAATTATCACAGGCTTCTTCTTATCTAGTTCCTTAACATGTCTACGAAATTCTTCATTCCATTGCAGTCTTTTCGGAAGTGTGACTAGTTTACGCCCTGAGTTGGGCACATATGTACATACTAAATAAAATTGCTCATATTCCGCTGTTATTATACGACCTTCGCTATCCAACTCCTCGTTCTGTAACCCATATACGACGTTCATAGCAAGTTTCGTTGTATAAATTCCTACGCCTGCGTAGCCATCCTTGTCGCCAGCCACCCAGTATGCGTGATAGCCAGGTATGTTAGCAATTTCACTTGGTAATTTATCTTGTGAACATTTGGTTTCTTGTACACAGAGTATGTCAGGTTTCTCATACTTGAAATAATCAAGTCCGCCCTTGGATGCCCACGCTCTTATACCATCTACATTCCAACTTGATATTTTAAAGTTCCATTCTTTACCCTGACTATTAGTGGAAGAATTCGAGAAGTCAATGGATTCAAAATCTGTTAGAGATTTATTTTTGGGAGCTTTCTTTTTCGTGTCTCCTGCAGATGCTGAAATACATTACTGTGATTTGAAACTGAACATACGACAAAATATTCGCCAAAAGTAATATGTATTGTCGTATGTTGCCTCATTTATCAGTGAAGACATATGTGATAATGCATTATCACCATCCTTATAATTCAAATGTTGTGTAAGCTCTGGTAAGCCCCATGTGACATGCATGTGGATTTTCATTAAAAATTCTTTCATGATAGACGCACACCCTCCAACTAACAATATGACAGAATTTCGCAAAACAGGACCTTTTAACACATTTCCACTTTCCACAACTTATAAACTAAGAACCTCTAGTAACCATACATTATATAACTATCATGCGAAAAGTTAAGAGTATAATAAATATACTGGTATATGGTATTAATTGTTAATCAGTCACCTTGTCTTAAATCTACATAGTTTAAATTAGTAATATTTAATGCTACCAAGAACTATGTTCCTCAACTCTATCCCCATCTATGATGCTAATTAGATTGTTAGAAAGTTCCTTATTTATTAAAGTAGTTTATGAAGCATATCAAGTAATTACTTAAACATAATTTATGTCATATTAATTCTGTATAAACTTGAGAATATAGAAAGGTAGAAAAAATAACAAAGCATTGAAAATATACATTTGGAAAAGTTTTATTATGAATAATTAATGATAAAACACACTTAATCATAGTAACACAAAACAATATTTGTCAAATGCTTAAATTATAATCAATATAGTACTAGTTACCCTTTTCATCAATTCCCTTGCGTCGACGTTTTGTTGTGGGCTCATTGTCTTGTGGTTCCTCATCAGTTTCTGTGTTCACTTCAACCACTTTCTTCTGACCCCTCTTACCTTTGGCAGGTTTCACTTCTACTGCTACATCTTCTTCTTCGTTCTTTGCCTCAGCTAGAAATAGAAGAACATTTTTTTAAGATCAACTTGTCTAGATTGTATACCACATTTATCAATACCATCAAGATGAATTGAAATTTACCTTTTTTGGTTACCTTCCTTTTTTTAGAGGATGGTGTTTCATCCTCTTCTTCATCTTCCACTTCTTCTTTAGGTTGAGCTTTCTTTCCCTGATTTTTTTTACCTTTTGGTTCCTTTTTCTTAGGCTCAGGTTTGTCTTCCTCTTTCTCAACATCCTCATCTTCATCTATATCATTTTCCTTTTCTTGTACCTTAGCAGGGGCCTTCTTCCTGCCTTTTGGTGCAGGCTTCTCTTTTATTTCCTCCTCAGGAGTATCAGACTTCTCAGCTTCAGGGTCTGTCTCAACTTTGGCTGCTTTCCTTCCCCTACCCTTAGCAGCTGACTTAGGTTTCTCCTCAACTTCCTCTTTTGGTGTGTCTTCACTCTGTACCATTTCTGGCTTGGGTTTTCTTCCTCTACTAGACTTAGGTTCAGCTTTCTTTGCTGGTTCTTTTTTGGCCTGCTTCTTGCGACCCCTGCCAGAACTAGGTGCCTCCTCTGTGTGACCATTACTTTCTTCTACAATTTCATCACTCTGTTCTGTTTCTTCAGTTGGGGCTAATGACTCCTCTTCCGCAGATTGATCACCATTAGATGCTTGTTTGTCTAAGGAATTCGAGTCATCTACATTTTTCTTGCGACCTTTCTTAGCAGGTGGCCCTACTTCTTCTGATTTCTCATTTACTTGTTCACTAGAATCATTAACAGCCTTTTTACCACGCTTAGTTGGTTTCTTGTCATTGACTGGGGTAGATTTCTCACTCAGTTCAACATCTAATTCAGGTTCTGGTTCTGCCACAGTTTTTGCTTTTCCTCTGCCTTTTTTAGGAGCATCATTTTCTGATGATACCTTAACATCAGCAGCTTTCTGCAAAAGAATATTATCTATGCATATATCACTTTCTAAGATAAAATTAAGTATATGAAAAATATTTGCATATACATAAATACTGAAATTGAACTGATTACATGAATAGATTGTAGTAGGTCATTAACCATTACTGAATTTTCCAGTTACACTAAGTTTTATCAATTAGGCGTGTTATAAACTAAATCTTTACAAATAATATATGCAATAAATACGCTAGGATCCCTAGTACAACGAAAAGTGGCGCCAAACGCCGCTAAAACCTCTACTAATGCCTCAACATGTGTTCCTA